CCCTGGAAGGGGGTCACAGGTAGGTCATTGTGATTGGTTCCCCCTTTCTTCCTCCACCTTCCCCTTGCCGTCCTGGTATGGCTACTTTCAATATCGGCACGAGGAGTTTATCTGTCCTGGATTCCCTGGGTTTCTTATCTGCACTCATGTACATGCTCTGATCTAGCCAGATTTGTACGGTAGAATTAGGGTCATGATAGTGGCGGGCCGGGGGCAGCATTAAAGGACCAAGGGAAGCTGTATGTGCCATCGGTGCTATACTGCACCCTGACTGGCCCGTCTTTGATGCCTGATACCTGATCCTATCGACACCTCATGATCACACAGGCTGGTGTGCTTCCTCCATGTGGGCTTTGTTGCTTCTAAGCTAGATGGCCACTTGTTTACCATCAAGCCTTTAAGACCCCAGGCGCTCTATCTTTTGGTAGCCAGGCACCAACCAGGACTGTCCATTTTGACAGGAACAGAGAACCTCATCTTCCTCCCTAGGAGTAGCCTTGAACTGCCCAACCTTGCTGTGAGCAGCCCGATGCTTAACCCAAAGTCTCACCAAGGCTCCTTTTGGTTTAGCAAAAGGCAGGTTCATAGACTTTGGAAATAATGTTCTAGAATACATTTTTTCAGTCTGCAGAACATATTTATAATGAGTTTACTTCTATAGAAACTGATGGGGGTAAAATAGGGTATATTTTAAACAGCTATCATAATGCTATCATTTAAAAAAGTTAAAACCATTGAAATAATCAACAGCTGGTTATTAATTAAATAAGCTTGCTTATAACTATATAACAAATAACCAAAATGAAGTAAATGACTTTAAAGAAAAACAATAGTTAATAAACATGACTTAGCAAAATAAAGGTTGCAAAAAAGTATGCATTGTGATTCTTCCAAACTGTCAAGTTCATACACACACTTGTGCACAGAATCTGAGGGTAGGTGAGTAGTACATCAAAATGTTTAATGATAGCTCATATCTAAGCACTGATACTGTAAGTACATGCTTCTTCATATGCTTTGCACTTATAGCACAGATACCATTTGCATAAAGGAGAGAAAAATATAGTTAAAAAACCAGGGTATTTTAAATGGAGTAAAAGCAGCGCTTAAAATTTCTTTTTTTTGTAAACCGATAGCTCTCTCTCCCTTTCCCCATTTTATTCCAATGGTATGCTCCTCTAGGCAAACAGCAGGTTTTACCTGATTGCAAATGCAGTAGCGTGGCTCATTGGGGTCATAAGTCCAGTCGACCTGATTGTTAGAATCAGATTCTGGGACTACTGTTGTCTGCTGAGAGATTTCTTGAACTGCCGTGGATGATGAAGAACATGAGGATAATGAAGAAGAGGAGGAAGAAGATGATGACTGCTGGCTCGAAGATTTGTTGTTATTTCTGAGGGGGGGGGGGCGGAAATGGATCAGTTTTATTTACTTAACATCCAGAAGTAGTTGCCTGACAGTAAGTCTTAAGTGTATTGACTAATGAGATTGAAAGCATAGAAGAGCATTTAACATCAAATTAGAAATGCACCGTCAATGCTGAAATTCACGCTCACCCTGTTGGGTCAGAGGAGGGAGAGGTGCCTCCCAGGGACACTTACTTGCTCTTTCTCCCACTCCGAGAGTCGGCTGCTGCTGAGCTGGCGCTCTGCGTCAATGTAGTCATGAGCGCCGAGGATGAGGAATAGCCAGCCGCTTCCCGGGGCATTGAAAACTCTTTTCCCAGCTGAAAGTCATTATTCTTAAATGCTTCATAACTGGCTTTTAAACTTGATGTTCTTCGTCCCTCTTTCATCTTAAACAAGACATTCATCGACAGTGTTAATGTACATAAACACATACGTTGTCTTTTCCGTGCCTTGCAAGTTCTAGTATCGTTTGGTCCTGTTCAGTTCTGATTTATTGTTCTTGTTCATCACTGTAACTTAGGCTATTTTGTATTAAAGATTTAAAACCAATGTTTACAGAGATTTGAAATGATTTGGGATTTGGAAACTTGATTTGGAAGAGTTTGGAATTGCCCGGCGTTGACCACTTCAGTTCGGCTTCGGGGTGAGGCTCACAGGAAGCCCTGGCGCTGGTAGAGATCAAGGCATGCTCACCCTCGCGGGTGCTGTGGCCTGCAGCCAAGAATGCCGGCAAGATGAGCAATGGTCTTGGGAAGGGATCTGCGTGATATTGTGTCACTCGATTTTTTACTTTTCTTTATCAATCAGGTACTTCCTGTGCTTTCAGTTTGCTAAATAAATGGTCAGACCATACAGCTTGTTTGGTTTTAAAATGAAAAAGAAAAAAAGAAACTGTATAATAGAAGAAGTCTCTATTCACTCATCTACAGTTATCTCTATTAAGGCTTGCCAATGACTAAGACACAATGTACTCTGTCTCCAAGCCTTTCCCTTTGTACCTGAGCTGTGGCTTGAACTGCTTGAGCTGCTGCCATCGTAATTGCTCCAGCACCAGTTCCTGACGATAACGAGCCAATGTTGTAGGATGCCAGGGGTTGGGAGGAATTCACATTGTAAGCGTTATTGGAAGAGGCTGTGGAGTTGTTATTTCGACAGCCTATGAAGAAAAATAAAAATGGTTGATGGTCAGATAGAATGCAATATTGCTGAGTTTAAAGTACAGTATTTCCTAGCGCAGATATAAATGTATGCCATTATACATCGAATTGACTGAATTATCAATTTTTTGTTCTCTCTCCCATGTAAAGACTTTAGCTAGACAAAGAAACTGTATTATTCACTCATCCTGACAGCTTTCACCTTGCCTTACAGTCTAAGGCAAACAAAAAGCCAACAGTCATGTTCAAGACAGTAAGATTACTTACTGAGTGTGTTTTCCTTGGAGGCATCTGATGTAAGAGTAGAGAGAAGAGCTTCAGATTTAAACTTCTTTTCAGGGATATGATCTGTGGTGGTATGGTGAGTCGTTGGGTTATATTTCCTTTCTGAATAGATATAAAGAATACATGTCCTTTTAAGCTTCAGAGAACTGTGGAGAAGGCACCTAACCTCTATCCAGCTATAAACCCACACAGCCCTGCTCTGGGCTCCTTGTGGAGCACAGGAAAATATGTTTTCTCAGAAGATGGCCAAACAGCAGACCTCTCAGATGGTTTTGATAAGGCCTGACTTCTTGGACATTTAAGATAATTCAGGAGCAAATTAATGAACATAACCCATGATGATGCGCCATGATTTCACATACAATATGAAGAAAATCTTGCTTTTAAAACAATGCCTAGAATTCAGAGTAGTCTTCAACCAGCCTTTCCGTTAAACTATAACTGTCTGTAGAACTACAAGTATGTCAGAAATTCACCCAGCCACCTATCTGACCATTCTCTCTCTTACTCGCTGACTAAGCCCGGTGGCCTCCTTGCTCATTAGACAGTGTGGCAAAAACAAAGACAAAAAGAGAAGGGCCTCTGGCCCTGGGAGTTTCTTGTTGGTTTGCTTGTACTCTGGCTAGAAGAACCGGATAGTGCTTCCTCTATGCATTCCAGGGAAAACAGCCTGTGCCCAAGGTAAATATGTACTTCCCTCACGAGGAAGATAACCCCATCCGTAAGTGCAGTGGAAAGGTACATCCCACTAAAAAATGGAAAGGACATTTTTGCAACAGATTCTGTAAAACTAGTGAAAGAGCACAAAAGAGGAACATGGTGAGTTTCTGCTTGTATTTAACATTTTCATGGCACAAACTTACTTTCCACTGGCGTATGGGAATGGGCGTGGTGATTATTCACAGGCTGTGAAGGAGTATCTAATTCCAAAGATCCTAAAATCAGAGAGAAGCACAGAGATAGAGCACCATTAAATGCTGTTGTCGAACCTCAAATGCCACCCCAGGGCAGGCGTGGCACCCTGCTCCCCAGCAGGGTACCCGCGCTCTAATGTATGCACATGCCTTCAGTAGCATCTCAGCCAGGGACGCCTGAGGGTCACCACTGCTAACCCCACCTTGAGCTATGCCTCACTCTAAACTATACAATGCTCATTTCCCAGTGTTCACCTTACATACAAAAGGGCTCCAGGCATGCTGATGCCTAATTGGGCAGCTCGCCACAGGGGGTACCACACAGAGGGATGAACAGTCTTACCCACTACTGATAGAGGCGACAAACTCCACCTCATTTTACTGAGTGGAAAGGCTTTTAAGAGGAGATGCTCTAGGCAATGGGGACATTATTGTAGGAAAGAAAACTCTTTGATCACTTAAATGACTGACGAGAATAAAGGCTTCCTGAAGGCAGTTAAGACGTTTTCCTTGTGAAAGAGTATGGAATGAGATTGCTACCACCAAGCTTTAAAACACTTTAAAAGAAATTGTCTGGGCTTTTTTTTGATCCCTTGAGATAAAAGTATGACAGAAAACTGGGTGAAGCAGCTTTTAAAACTTGATCCAAATTAGTTTCACAAGTCTGTGTCCTTAGTAAGGATAGCTGACTTCCATTCCCTGCAGTATTATTGGGCATGGATTACAGTGATTTAGGACAATCACCAGCCTTCCCAAAACATCAAAACAATGATAGAATACTTTACTGTCCACAGGTTTAGAACTCCCTCAGGAGAAAAAGCATCACAAATAAATTATCACCTAAGCTGGAGCTACTTTTGAATAAAAGCACCTTGAGCACGAGGAGGGATTTTTGACCAGTTTCATTCAAGCTGATGCCCAGGAGATGGTGAGGTCCATGACCCACCCAGAAAAGAAACGTTCCTCTACATGTGGAAACATGGACGTGCTCCTGCTGTGGAAATGCTCCCAGAGGGAAAAAGGTTTCAGCCCTTTAAATTCTAGTGGAAATTAGCTGTAAAATTTATCTCAATCAACATTTTGTGAATAGCTTGCTCTGTGCCCACTACCTCCTTTTCTATGTATTTTCATATCTAGGTTGGGAAAAAATGCTAAATTAAAGCGGTCAGGCCTCCTAATTTGGGAAAGCTAACCCCAAGAAGTAACAACGGCAAGTTCTAGCAAGGGACAAGTCGAACCTTGCAAAACAATTTAAAACAGTTATCTACTGCTAAAGGAAAGCTTTAGAATTCTCTGAGAAAAAGAGGTCCTCTTATGGGCTCAATTCCCATCAATCCCATCTAAATATATACAAAACAGTATTTACATTTATAAATAAAGCACTACAGAAATACTGTGTTTTTGTTAGTTGAGGAAGGCCCTTGGGAAGTTCTTAAAGATAAAAACAATGGCCTTCTACGTTAAAATAAAAAAACAAAAAAAACGGGTCTTCCTCAAAGTTGAAAGAGGCAAGGTGATGTCAACACATGCAATGACAGGTAGGTTAAGGTTTTTTCTCTAGATTCCTAACTTGCTTCGAAATAGCTCTGCTTTTAAAAATCCTTGCTATTGCATTGCATTAGCTTATGTAGGTAGGTATGTTTAAAGGAGAAGGATGTTTCAGAGTGAATGATGATAACCTGCAATCTCTCTCTGCATTCATGTCCCACCATCTCCGTCTGGGAGGGTGCAAGCCACCTCCCCAGGAAGCCACCACCCACCTAAGGGCAAGCTCCAAAGAGGTGCTGTAGACCATGGTCTTCTCAGTGACTAGATGTTGCACACTTAAGTCATATTGCCCAACAGGGATGGGAAACTGTAAATTTTACTTACGCCGCTCTAATATTTCTGTAATCCCAGCGTTATCAGCTTCCAGCTCCATTTTAAACTTAGCCAGTTCCTGATCCAGCTTCCTCAAGTGTCGGTCTACCTGTTTCAGAGAAGATCAAAGATGCTCACCCAAACTGCAGGCGTTGTGAGTGTCAGTGTAACCAGGCCCTTCAATCCTCATTCCTCTGTGTGACTCGGCTTGGGCAAGTCAATTAGCCAAAGCCTCTGTAAAATGCTACTAGACTAAATAATCTCTCAAATTCTTGTCATGTACTAACACATTTCAATAAATCGTAATCTCCAATTTGATAGCTATTTTCTATCCCCTATTTTTGGAAGTGGAAATACGAAAATTAAAGCAAAACCGTGTGTAGGGACCTGAGGGTGTGAGGCAGGGCAGGAAAGTGTACAACTCTCATGATATCGGTGCTTTGAGGCCACCCGCACTGCTCCTTAAAGTGATGAGCCCTGGAGACCCTCAAGTCTACAGAGAGGCTACTAATTATACCAACGCATGCATTTCCGTAAAGCAGGGAAGTAGACCACAAGATTTGCAATCACTTATGTAAGTGTCCACAGAACCCTATTCCCCGAGGACCTGGTTAAATACGTTATTGCAATACCAGAGTCATGGAGGTGGCAAAATGCTATTTTCTTATTCATCTACAGATCTGTTAACTGCGTTCAGAAAATTACTTTACTCCAACTAGTGACAAATGCCTTAACATATTTTTGGCATAATATTGGGTATATTTAAATTTTTCTCATAGCTTTGGTAAAAACAAGACAACAGTAATCCTTTGAAAATACTTACATTATCAACACCATCCTTTTTCAAAGGCTAATTTCCCACTAGATCACCTATAGTGATGAATAATTTCCTAACAAATAGCACAACGTGTCGAGTGAGAGTACAAGGGTTAATATTTATATTTTTAGCTAAACAACGTGTCTCTGACACCCAAAGAGACCTGGCATGTGCCGGACACCTATGGAGAGGCCAGGTGAATGGGCTCAGGGCTCTCTCTTCTAACCCTCACTTTATCATCTTCTGAGGTAGGTTATTACTGTCTTCATTTTATAAATTAAGAAACTACGCTTCAGAGGGGATGAACAACATGCGCTAAGCCTTAGTGCACAATGCAATGCATTTAGCTTTGAACAATCTGTAATAAATCATGCTTCACCATTTATACCTAGCACTGCCCTTTGAATGCGTTGTTTTTTAAAATTACAATGCACATTGAAAAAAAATAGGATGTCCTATTAGTTGTATTTTTTAAGTCAGCAGTAATGAGTGTAAGCTTGTGATTTTTCAATAGTTTAAAGCCCAGCGTTGAGCCCACTTTCTTCGGTCAGTTTTCTGTCTCAGCTCAAGGTGAGATTAGAATATTTAGCACCGTAGGATTACATATTTATTGGCATGTGCTTCTGTTCAAAGAATCTGTGAAGAATTGGGCATCCTTTAATGGACCCTCCCTTCTAATGGTAAATGTGAACATAGACCTCAGTCACAGATGCACTGTCAAAATTTCATCTCAAGGGATGAATAAGAAAATAAGAAAAAAAAGAAAAAAGTAACAAAGTTATAAGACCAGCTAATGTGTTACAATGACGTTTCTTATCCATAATTATTCCAATGACAAATATTGAGTTCCTACTATATGCTTGGCACGGGGTTAGATTGAAAATACTTGAGTAAAGGGAGAGAAATCTCTGCCTTCAAAGGCATCAAGAATTAGCTGTCAGATCAAAACCCACCCCGAAGAAATGGTGAAAATACAGAGCCTCCATGCATGCAATCAACAGTGGTCCCAAGAGCTGACAAAGTGGCGCACAAAGAACAAAATCGAAACCCAGGCTGTGGTGGACACAGAGGGGTTTGGAGTCAATCAGATGGCGAGGGGTGGATTCTATTCCAGTGGAAAGAGCTTATATTCGGATGGAAAGAAAAGAGGAGTGAGCAAACAATATATAACACAGAGGCAGAAAACAAGATGATGGTCATACTCAAACAGATAAAAAAATATATAGTATTCAAACAATGTACCAAGATAGAAAACCATGAAGGGTTCAGGAGGGAGGGGGAAGGGGAGAGGGAGGGGGGGAAATGAGCAAATGATATTGAGGGCTAAAGTAGAGGGCAAATGTTTTGATATTGACGAGGGCAACAGGTGTACATATGTGCTTGACTCAATGGATGTATATATGGACTGTGATAAGAATTGTACGAGCCCTCAATAATTAAAAAAATAATAATGAGGGCAACAAATGTACAAATGTGCTTTATACAATTGATGTATGTATGGATTGTGATGAGTTGTATGAGCCCTCAATAAAATGACTTAAAAAAAAAAAAGATAGAAAACCAAAGATTATGAGCAAAGCAAGTCAAGTATTATGGTCAGCGAGAGGAGTACGTGATAGACCACTGTCTGAACCTTGGTGGGGAGCAGCGGGTGAACTGAGATGAAGACTTTGTTTTCCTCACTACACACCTCCACTCCCTACTAACTCCCGCCATCTCTGCTGCATTTCACTCACAATGACTGACGAGGTTTACTACATGAGAAAGGATGAATCCTGAGAAACGCTGCCTGAAGATAATGAAATTTGATTCTAAATAGTTCACAAAAGGCAATGACGTCCAAGGAATTGATACTTTAAAAACCAAGTTGATAATGAAAATAAATAAGGATGCCTCCTCATAAGGAAAAATATGAATGGATTATGTTAATTATTAGGCCATGAGAAGTACTTTTCTTAGTCTCATCTTTGCTGTAAACCAATTTATAATTCAGAAATGAAGCTGACCTAGACTTAATTTGGGCTACAGAGTAGAAAGAGTCCTACTCAATATTTAAGTAGTCGGCTGAATTGAACTTGACTAAAATCTACGTGCCATCTCTCTATTGATAAAGAGTTTTGAATGGGCAAAGCATCTACTGTAGCTAAATCAGTGTGATGACCCTACTGCTTTCAGGCAAAGCAAGAATCTAACTCAGGTTTCCTCACCATGCACAGCTGGTCCCGTAAGACAGACAATAACAACCGAGAGTGAGAATGAGATGGATTGATTTCCCCTGAGACATCGGTTCCTGACACAAGGATCACCAGTCTCATTACTGTTCAGTTCCCTTTAACGATCCACAAACCCTAGTCAAGGAAGTTTCCTTACTCTTGACCCAAACTGATACCAGCTTTATACCAAAATCTATCACACTAATTTCTGTCAATATTACTTGTCAGCATGTCCATAACCACAGAGCTTTAACCACATCTGGATCCTATACAATAAAGAACAAAGTCCCTCCTCACCCTTAACATTTTTGACTCTCCCGGTTTTCTATTTTTACACTGTTTACACGTGTCATTCAGGGACCCAAACTGATCTAAATACAGGTTTTAGAAAGGTTTCTATGTGTTCTAATGCTCCCATGGTCAAAGACGTCCCCATGGGGACGTCTGCCTTGCCCTTAGGAGCACTGGGGTTCCAGTGGTTCAGCATCTCTACTGGTAACGAAAAGTCACCAGTCCACAGACAGCAGCCACCCTGGGAACGATGTGGCAGTCGGTCTGCTTGCACAGAGATTGCAGCCGTGGAAACCCCATGGGGCAATTCCACTCCATCCTGTAGGGTTATCGTGAACCATGACTGACTTGACCATGATGGGGTTTAGCATGCCTTTTCTGAGTTGGCATTCAGTCCTTCTATAAGGTTCTAAGTTGAAATCTAGGCATTAGAGAATATGTCCATCTGTGCAAACACCTGGTAACAATCAATCATGGAAGAAAACGGAATTGTAGTGACAAATTATTTCTGACCATAAAGTCACGAAAATAAAATTTTACATTTGTAAATTATTCCAACTAGATGAAAATTTAACACAACTTTAGATTGAAACAAATACTTGAGGTCTAACAAATAAATTATGTCCAATCATCTTGTTTATAGGAGTCCTAGCAGCACTGTTGGGAAAGCATTGGATGGCTAACCACAAGGTGCGTGGGTCAAACCCATCAGGTGCTCTCCAGGACGAAGATGAGGCTCGCTATCCCTGTAGATTTACAAAGCTTAAGGAAACCCTATTTAGGGTCCCTGGAAGTCATAATCAACTCAATGTTAGTGGATTTGGTCATCATCTCTTTAAAAGACAATAGGTTAAGGGACACATCAAAAAGTCAAATTCACACACAACATTCTGTAACTAGAGTATCAGCTGAAGAACTCTCACTGATAGGTAAAATGTGGGCCTGAAATACAATCATTTCAGGATATCAAAAAAGGTGAGTTCAAGGGTACTGAACACTGCAAAAACCAGTCAAGCATAACTAAAAGCGAACATTTCATCAGAAGGTATATGAATCAGCTTTTTTGCTTTTCTTTTTAAAAAAAATTAAATACCTTTATTGGGGGATCTTACATCTCTTATCACAATCCATACATTCATCCTTGTGTCAAACACATTTGTACATATGTTGCCATCACCATTTTCAAAGCATTTTCTTTCCACTTGAGTCCTTGGTATCAGCTCCTCAATTTCCCCCTTCCCTCTTCCTAGAAATCAGCTTTATTACATATTACAATCTACTACATCCCACAACAGTGACATCTGGCTGAGGAAGACAAATAAGTGCTGAATAACTCTGAATGTCAGAATTCTAGAAGGAAATAATTTCAACTTAACACTTTTTGCTACTCATCAAATTCCTTCACTTCTCACTTTATCAACTATCTCATTATCCAACTTCAAAATTTTGTATTTATGGCTGAAAGAGCACCGTAAAACTGAGGCAGCTGGCATGAGCATGTAACTAACACAAGTCTAGGTAAAAAATTTCCTTTTTTGAAAGCAAGTAAAACATTCCAATAAGTGAATACAATGGAACATCATACTATATAAAACACTGTGGGAAAACAATTAAATACTAACTTGTTAAATCTTAAAATTTACACATTTAGTTTAAATTACCATAGCTGTATCATGTCTAAGCAAACTTGTCCCCATCTCCCGCTGCTTCCCCACCCCCCACCCCCCCAAAACAAATCCACAGCCAGAGTTGTTTCTGACTCAAAATGACCCTACATAGGATTTCCAA